CACACACACACACACACGCACACACGCACACACACGCACGCACACGCACACACACGGGCTTGCTGGAATGTTTCAGGCAACGCTGTCTGAGTGCCCAGAATGAACAGTCTCTTAGTCAAAAGCTTCATCTTGAAAGATTTGCGCTAAACACTCCTTCCTCAAACTTTTCTCTCTTTAGCTAACTTCTACAGATGATGCTATCATCTTCATTCTTAACCAACCTTGGTTGACACTGCCTGTCTCCTGTATTCAAGTACTTGTTTTAGCTTTTTCTTCTATTATTCCCACATCACCAGAAACAAAGATCCACAAAATTTGTCAGCATTACATGTGTGCAAATATGGATGATATGGAGAGTTGTTATTTTAAAAATGAGACCAAAAAAAAAAAAAAAAAAACAACAAAAATCTGACACTTTAAAAATTGGGATCAATCCAATTTCCTCAACATCATATCCTTATTGAACTATTAGTGATGAATGTGCAGGGACCTAACTTGATGATTGCCAAAATTGCCAGGAAATATTAAATTAACTATCTGCTACTTGATATTGTCATGAAGTTTCAGCAGCTCGGTCTCCATGTGGGTCCAGGAGCAGGGCTGCCTCTGACATGAACTCTGCTGACTGCCCTTTGATCACTTCACCCCAGTGGGATGGCCTAGCCTGGACACAGAGAAAGAGGATGCAGTCTTAATGAGACTTGATAGGCTGGGTCAGATGAGTTGGAAGAAGGTTCCCCCATTCTCAGGAATAGTGGAGGGAGATAAGAAGGAAGAGAGAGAGGGAGGGAGTGACAATTGGGATGCAAAATGAGTAAGTTATAATTTTAAAAAATTAAAAAAGAATCTCGTTTACTTCCAAAGGTCAAAAGGAAGAAACTTATGAAGGATAGCATGTCTTCTAAAGTAGAGCAATTATATGATTTATTCTGGCTGTTCTCTAAGCAGTATGATGTAGTGACTTCAGCAGAGCCTAATGTACACAAAACGTTTATTTTTCTAAATTTAGAAAATCCATATTAGTCATGGTATGAAACATGATGTCATTATCCTCCTAGAAGCATGTTGAGAGTTTCCAACCACTCTAAGCATTCCAGAAAATCTGTCCAGTTAATTTTTTTTTGTATTTTGACACTACACACATTTCCATATTTTATATACTTTAATACAAACATATTACTATTACAAAGTATATTTAATTAGAAAATGATGTTTGTATGAAGACAACAAAATTCATTCTGGCAGGGGAGGAGGGAATATTAATTCTTTGTAAGGTCTTTCAACCCATGAAATTCTTACTGTAGAACAGCTGTGAAAGAATTTGACACGTTTTATTTTCCTTAGAATACTAAACTTGTCATTACTTTGACTAATGTACCATTATGAACTACATCATGAAGAAAGTTGCCTAGAATCCCTGCTCTTTTTTGCTGCTGCTGTTTGATTTTTTTGTTGTTTCTTGGGTCACATATAGACCTAAAAAACTGCTCTGTGGTCACATGAAAGGCTGCTGTGAAATACCACACATAAACTCTTTAGAAAGGCTACATTAGTAAAAATCAGCAAATGTGGGCTGATATTAAGATTGACTTGATATCCATAAGACCTAGTACACATAGCAAGTGACCCACAGTTAGTTTTGGAATAAGTCAACGAGTTGCATAATTAATCTATGCCCCTATCAAAAAAATGTACATTTTAATTTAATTTATTCTAATATATTTTATCCTGAATATAGTTTCCCCTTCCTTCTCCCCTCCCAACACTCCCCCTTTCTCTCTTCTTCCCTTCCTCTTCAGAAGAAGGAAGACCTCCTATGAATATCAACCAAATATACTATATCAAGTTGTAGTGAGACTAGGTACCACCCTTTTTATTACTGGACAAGGCAATCCAGTAAGGGTGAAAAGGCCCCCAAAACAGTTAAATGCATCAGAGAAAATCCCCATGTCCACTGTTAGGAGTCCTGCAAGAAGACTAAGGTTATGTATTTTTAAAATTATTTCAAAAGAATATTTGCCTAATAAGTACAAAGCTTTATATAGAAAGAGAAACAGAGAGAAGGAACAGATTACTCTGTGTGTATGTGAATGTGTGTGTGAATGTGTAGTTTGTATTATCTTTGAGAAACCCTTGAGATCAAGCCATAAGAATGAAAAGAAGAAATTGGACTGGAGAGATAGACCAGTGGTCTAAGTACTTGTTACGCCCGTGAGGGGCTGGAGTCCAGATCCCCAGAGCCGATGTAAATGCTGCATGTGTTTGTGGGCCACGTGTAGTCCATTGTTGAAAGCAGAGGAAGGGGCTCCTGGAAGAAGCTGGTACCTCTGAGCTTGATTATGAGATCCCCCCTCAAAAAGGAATAAGTTGAAAGAGCAATTGAAGATTTCTAATAATAACATCAAGACCTTTACACGCACATACACACACACACACACACACACACACACACACACACACACACACACACA